AGAATATAAATATGAAAAAATAAGTAAATTTTAAAAGAGTAAATGACACTATGAGACCCTCCCACACACATGTGAGTAGGACCTCAAATAATCATTATTAAATTTTGACACAGTTTTCTAAAAAAGTTATGACATGGGTGTACGACTTAGGTGAATAGGTTTATTGATAATTTTTCTAGAGATCTGTGTCAAAATTAATGGTGATCCTTTGAAATCCTATTTATTTACGTATGGGAAGGTCTATTAAGATCATTACTCATTTTTAAAACTAAAAATAATAATTCTAAAAAGAAAATTCCATTGTGTTTAGATCAATGGTTTAAAAAACGGATCGGTGACCCAGATCGGGCTCCCAAAAAACCGATCCGGATCTGCGAATCAGCGATCCGGATCGGAAATCGGGTGAATCGGTCAGAATAAAGCTTCAAAAAAATCCGAAAAAATTATTAAAATTCATTATAAATATTATTTTTTAGGAATTCAATAAGAAATGAGGGTACTCCATTAAGAATTTTCATGTTTTTGAATGAATATGCGAATATTGATATGTTCTTTCCCTGCATGAACCGCCATTTAGCATTTAATTTACATCACACAAAAGGATAAACATAGAATTATCATGGAATAAGTATATCAATATACATGGACTACAATAAAGCATAAAATTAGTAACATACGATCTAAAAATAAAATGATAGACGACGTTGTTGTTCTTCTTGGTCACGCTGGTGCCATTGATTGAATTCGTTTGACAATTCATTGATTCGATCTAAAAACGAATCATCGATATTAGCGGGCGTCTGACTATTCCCAAATCCCTGAGTGTTAGTGTTTTGTTGTGTTCCCAATCCAAAATCCCTGAAGCTTGTCCATCCTTCATGCTCACCTGCACTGTCGTGCTCATCCCTACACTGTTGCTGTTGGGACTCGATATGTGAATAATATGGCTGGGATAGGGTGGCCTCAGAATCATTATCTCTCTCATTTTCTCTTAGACCCCCTTCCCACTCTCCCTCATTAGGTGTAATATCACCGACATATTGTGGATATTGGCTGGTTGCTTCCTCTTTCATGCTGCTCATCACTTTCTTCAATATCTTCATCACCGATAGCCTCAAAGAACGCTCTCTTGTGTAACACTGGCTCCTCCTCTTCTACTACCCATTAGTCTGCTGTGTCTGTGACAAATATTGTGTCTAAGTCTATCGGCCCATAGTCTTCAAGCTTCCTTCTTATTTGTCGCTCTCTGAGGTTTAAATTATAATGAACGTAGACTAGTTTATGAAGCTTCTTAGAAGCGAGTCGATTCCTTCTAGTAGTGTGCAACCATTGGAACGTACTACAGTTGCGCTCACAGCCAGTAGCAGAACATGTCTGGGAGAGCACCTTGATTGCTATCCTCTTTAGGTGAGGTGCATCAGTACCATATATCTCCCACCATTCAGCTGGATTAAAATGTAAAAAGCATTGTAAGGGCAAGAACAATTCATAAGATTAAATATATGAATAAACAAAATATTAGCGAGGGGATAACCTGGATCCATCATAGTTCGAGAATTTCTGGCAAGTCTAGTTTCGAAGGATCCTATAGCATCCCTATACATAGCAAGCTAAAACAAATATATTACGTTTTAGTGCATTATTCCTCACAAATATAACAACTCAATGAAGTTCTTACCCAAACATTAAATAATACCTCTTGTATTGCTGCTACTTGGTTTCGATGGCTTCTCTCCAACCTTA